TTTTTTTAGTCAGGGTCTCACTCTGGCACCCAGGTTGGAGCTCCGTGGCATGATCACTGCCACCTGGACCTCCTGGGCTCAAGTGATCCTTCTACCTCAGCCTCCTGAGTAGCTGGGACCACTTCCAGCTAACTTTTTAAGTTTTTTTGTAGACACAATGCCTTGCTATGTTGTCCACACTGGTCTTGAATTCCCAAGCTCAAGCAATCCTCCAGCCTTGGTCTCCCAATGTGCGAGGATTACAGGTGTGAGCCACCGCAGTTGGCCACAGTGTATCTATATGATTAAATAGTTTCAAGCTATTAAAGTTTCTGATTTTGAAGACTGCTTTATGACATAAAAAAACATGTGTGATGTAAAAACCATGCAGCATCTTAAGAGTACACGTTCAACCTAAATCCAAGTAGTCTTTTGTATGTGCATTAAACATACTGGAGCTGGATTTTGTGTTTTCCTTATATTTTATAACCTTTCTAATACCTTTTAAGTCAGAAAGTAAATGAACGCCATTAAGAGGAAACATATAATCAAAGAACAGAGCAGCCCTGAGGTGTGACGTGTCACTGTCTTCAGCTGGGACATCCTTTAGTTTCATAAACTCTGCCTTTTTCTTTGGGACCACCCAGGGCAGGGACCCTGGGTCCTCTCTGCCTTGGTGGCTCCAGGAACACAACCAGGGCTCAATAAATAATTGACCATCACAAAGACCCCCAAAAGACCCCATTCACTCGGGCAGACTGCTAACCTCTCAAGGCATTCTCTTAAGTGGGTTTCATTTGTTTTTAATTTTTTTCCAATTTAAATGGATGAAAATGAAAGCCAGGAGAGAGTTGTGGGCTTGCTGAGAGCCGGAAAAGAGTAAAATGAACGAATGAGCCTGGTCCCTGCAGAGCACAGCAGGAGGCCTGATCCTGCTCCTGCAGCGATGAGTGTCCATTTCTTGTCCATTTCTTGGATTCTGAGGCTCCACCACCTATGAGTCAGAAAAGAAAGTGCAGGAAGTATGAACAACATTCAGCACCATCACTACAACGGAGGACAGGGGCACTTGGAGACAAGAAGGCCTGGCCTCGGCATCCAGGAAGTAGGAGTTGCCTTCTGTCCCCTCCATGGAGGAGGACAAACTGGGCCCACAGGAAGCATCTCGGGTGTCTCTGAGGTTTCAGGCTCTCCTAGGCCCGGGGACAAAGGATGCCCCATGACCACTATGACTCGAACAGAAGCTGTGAGCAAAGCACCAGCACTGGTCCTGGACTGAGGGCACCAGGGACCTGCAGGACCCAACACCACTCCGGGCGGTAGTGAGCGCTTCCCAGCATGCCAATGGCGTCCAGGGAGCACGTTCACTAAGGAGGTGCCATTTCCCTCTCTTTTTCCTGGACTTTCTCATCACCCCCAATGTTGTCTGAACAGCTTCCCCTTGTCCTGTGACATGCCCGGAGGAAGGCACTTCATGTGAGAGGAGGGGACGTGGAGACCTTGGGTTCCCTGCATCCCTCCTGGAGGTGACCAGGTGTGGCAACTCCCTGCTGGAGGGGATTCCTGGAGAGCCGAAAGGCATGGCGTTCTCCAGGTCCCAGGGAGGTGCGGGTGCAGAGGGCGACTGCGAGGTCCCCACACCTCAGGGGAGTCGCTGGACCTGCAGGGGCCAACCCGTCGACCAGAGACACAGCTCAGTTTCTCCTCCTGCAAACCTATGTCTAGACCCATGGCTCTCAGGAGTCTGATGTTAGAAACACCCAAGAAGGGGCAAAGGGTCCTGACGCCCAAGCAGAACCCCAGATCTGTCCAACCAGAGTCTCTGGGTGCGGCACCCAGGCATAGGTATGTTTAATGCTTCTAGGGCAGCTCTAATGTGCAGCTGTAACAGAGAACTCTGGCCTGAACTAATTCCTGTTCATGAGCTTTTAGAAACCAAGGACACTAGAGCAGGTGCGCCCCCAAGACATCACCTAAAACAACTCCTGCGAGTCACAGAGGAGGGAGCTGGTTTTCAAGGAAGTCAAGTCACCCACCCAGGGATGCACAGCACGTGAGTGGCAGAGCCATTGCCAACATCCCCCTCCACGCTCGACCTCCCTAGAAGACCAGTCCGAAGCCCTCGACTTCCCGGGAGAGTTGGGTCTGAGCGGCCACACGGAGTTCCTGACCCCCAGGATGGAACCCCAGGCTGCTGGTGGCTCCGTGTGTCCTCCTGTTGCCGTGACTCGGAGGATCCTCTCGGGAAAAATTCCGGGGGGCTCGAATGCTCTCCGAGGTGCAGAAAAGGAAGATGTTTCTGGAAACTGGAAAAGACTCCGCGACAGATGGCAGTTTGGGCTTTGTGGCTTCGCGCCCGGAAAAGAGAGAAACATGGCAGAATCGCTCCTCGCGGAAAGGGCATCTGGGCTTCGCAACGAGACCGTAAACGGCAGCAGCGACCCAGAGCCGCCCAGATGGGCCTCTGTCCCGGCCGTCTGGCTCCACATCCCCCCTCGTCACCCTCCCCCACCGGGGTCACAGCCCGGGGAGCCCTCCGCCCCAGGCTGGTTCCGGGCTCCGCCCACAGGCAGGGAGGGGGATGGGAGTGCGGGAAGACGAGCCTCTGGGCGGGGCTCATATGCAAATGCGGATACCAGCCGGGAGGCTCTGGGCCGCAAGTGACAGGACGTCTGGGGGCACTGGGGCCCCTGGGCCAGCAGCATCAGCATCACGGTCCGTCGGAAACTCGGCATCTCAGATTTTACCCTGGACCTACTGAGTGAGAACCTGCGTGTTCCGAGAGCCCGAGGGGATTCACGTGCCATTCAAGTCTCCCAAGAACCAGCTTACATGAAAAAGGCCCGCATCAACTCGCTTAGCCTGAGGTCCGGAAGGGGCAGCGCCGCGCTGTGCTCACTGGCTCCGGGATGCCCGAGCTCGGTCTCTGCGTCTGGGCTCCTCGGGCCTCCCGCAGGGTCTCACGGCGCGCCAAGGCTCCCGCACCGTCTGACGGCGTCCAGAGGACGAGAAGGAGAGCTGGGCGTTTTCTCCTGCGAGGCGTGGAAATCTTTCCCAGAAGCCCCTAGCAGAGTCCCTTAGGTCCCATTGGCTGGGACTGGAGGACACACCCACTCTCAAGCCAATCACCCGCGAAGGGGAGGAGACTCTGGGCGTGGCCCTGGCTCCACAGACCAATCCTGTGACCCTCAGGCCGGCCCCGGGCCGCCTCCCCTCAGCACGTCGTTTCTACCGGGGGGAGAACCACAGTGGGGCTCTCCTACCAAGGAGGAAAGGAGAGGGGCCGCTCGGTGTCGGCCACGATCCTGGCTGCGCCTAGCTGCCCCCCCCCCCCCGTGGGTCCGCATGTGCCCGTGCGTGTCTCTCTGTCATCAGTGCTCCACTGTCTCTCCGTTCAGCGGCTGTTTGTCTGTTCAGCAAACCCAGCTGTCCCCAGTCAGGTCCAGGCACCAGATGACATTTGACAGGCAGGCAAGAGAAAGCCAAGCCACGGACTCCGGCCCGGCCTTGAGTGCAGGCAACAGAAACCGATGTTGGGTTTAATTTTGGGGGAGGAATGTACTGGGAAGATGTGGGCAAACCTCAGAACCGCAGAGAAGTCAGACGGGAAGAGCCAGATGCAGGAAGGCTGGGGAATCAGGGCCGCTCCCGGGTGGGCCACCACCACAGGAAGTCCACTCGTGTGTCATGTCATGGTTCTGATCCCCAGGAGGACTGGGTTGGCTCATCTGGGCCACATGTGAACTTGGACCAGGGGAGCGTGTCGCAGTTTGACGGAAAATCCCTCCTTGGCCACATCGATCGACAGGGAGGGGCGTTTCTTGGTGGGAGCCCGAGGACCTGTCGTCAGGAGAAGAACAGGCCCCAGAGCACGTCCCCACATTCTGCACGTCCTCCTGAGCCCACCCTAGCCAGCCTGACCTCTGCCCCTGAATGTCCCCCCATGCTTTCTTATGCTGGGACCTTCCTGGAAGGCTTGCCTCTCCTGTCTGCTCCGCGGACTTTCCTGGTCCTTCAAGACCCAGGTTGAACACCCATCCCCTAACAAGCGCCAGCCATTGCCTCTGTGCTGTCTTAGGCTTTTCTATCTCAGCTCTGTGGACATCTTGAGCTGGTTAAGTCTCTGACATGGGATTGTCCTGTACACTGTGGGGTGTTTAGCAGCCTTCCTGGCCTCCATTCAGTAGATGCCACTAGCACCCTGTCCAGTCGTGACAAGCAAAACTGTGCCCAGACCTTGGCAAGTGTTCCCCGGGGGGAAAATTACCCCTGTTTGAGAGCCACTCCCATTCTGAGCCTGAGTTACTAAGATTTCCTGCAGTGGCAACTTGATTCTGTTGCAATGTGTTTAATGTTTCATGGCTCTAACCAGCCTGTAGAGCACCTCTTTGAATCCCTCTTCCCCCAACTAAGCCACCTCCCACACTGTGCAGGGGTGGCTCAGTGCAGATGGGGCATGGCAGGTAACAAGTATGGGCTTCATGGCGTTGAAGCTTCTGCTAGATGTGGGGGTGTTGGATCAAAGTTTGGTACCACAGCGGGTTGTAAAACCGAGGCCCTGAGGCAGGGCTGTCTTTATGCACTTGATAATTTAAATAAACAGGAGGTCATTAGCCTGAGGCTGTCTCTCTATTTTAAGTGCCTAAGTAACAAGTCACAAGGTAACTTAGTACTTAAACAAATGGAAATCTAAAGGAGTATATTTTTGTATCAGATAGCTGGGATTCAGCCAATTAGAAACAGTCAGATTTCAACCAATCATAGGCCACCAACTAATTCCTTCATGGTCAAATAGGGCCAGCACCTAGTGGTAGCCAATCAGGTGGTTTCTCTGCTTTCCTTTCATGCTCAGCCTGTGAAAGCTCGCTGCTCACACTGTTGGGCAAACTCTTCCAAATCTCTTCTGGTTCTAGGTGCTTCCCAATTCATAAACTGATCTTTGGCCAAATAAACTCTGTTCAATTTGACTTGTCTAAGGCTCTTCTTTTAACATACTCAAGACAACCTTGGTGGCCATGGTGAAAGTTCTCTGGATCCAGTGGGAACCAAAACCTCCTGTGACCTTCCAATAGTGACAGCCACCAGCACCTCCACCCTTGGGCTCAGGCACTGCTCACAACAGTTCTTACATGCACCATCTCGTTCGCAGTGAATGAGGTACCAGTGTCCAGCTTTCAGAGATCGGGAAATGGAGGCATGCAGCGTTCTGATGTCCTAAGCACTTCAATGCAAACAGTGGCAGAGCCAGCTTTGTCCTGAGGGGTCTGAGTCTGGGGCAGTGCTCATAGCCACGACTCTCACAGGACACCAGAACCCCACCCCCACCCCGTCTCCTCGAATGGCCATGAACACGAAGGTGTTTCCCAACCTTTGTGTCCAACGTTAACTCATCTCCGATTTAGCACAGAGCCTTTATTACATTAGAGTCACTAATTCAGTGCGGGCACTGCTTCACCCAGTCATGTCGCCATGATGAAGCCTGTACTTTGCCCATGACCAGATCCCACAGTCAGGAAGAGTTCTTAGTGCGTAGCAGGAAGCCATCCTCATCTGCCTCATTTAATTGAATCACATTACATTCCTCTGTGCATTTCATCACTCCTGACAGTGTTTGGCACAAAGTAGTCACTCAAACAGGACTTGCTGAATGACTGTCTGACTGATCAATTAGTCACTTTTCAATGGAGCCATTGCCTTTGTCCTTACAAGTGAATACAGCAAAATGATGGCACAAGTGCTTTTATCACCGCACGTTGATTGCTCCAATTAAATGGTTCTCTAAGCTTCAGAGAGCTCAGTGATTCAGCTCTTCTCATTTTAAGCTCAGGTCTTTTGAGCTTTGATACAGGCAGGTTTGCAAACCTGCGAAATGTGTGATGTGGATGCTGTAAAACCATCCTTCAGGTGGCCAGTTTAAACAATTCTTCTTCAGGAAATTTGTGCTTTTGAGAAATGAGAGTAAGGCCGGGAGCGGTGGCTCACATCTATAATCCCAGCACTTTGGGAGGCGGAGGCGAGGGGAGAGGATTGCCTGAGCCCATGGGTTCAAGACCAGCCTGGGCAACTTGGTGAGATTTCATCTCTACACTAAATAAAAAAAAACTAGCCAGGTATGGTGGTGCATGCCTGTAATTCCAGCTACGTGGAAGGCTGAGGCATGAGGATTGCCTGAGCCCAGCAGGTTGAGGCTGCGGTGGCTGTGAGCATGCCACTGCACTCCAGCCAGAGTGAGACTCTGACTCAAAAAAAAAAAAAAGAAAGAAAAGAAAAGAAAAGAAATGAGGGTAAGTTCTGGATGGGGACGCAGCAGAGTCTGTTTTAGGCAATTTGTCTCAGGGAGATGACTGAAGAGCAGCAGGTGGAGATGTCACCTTGGATGTGACACTCCCAAGGGATAAAACTCAGCTTGATGGATGGAGCTAAGCTCGGGAAGGAGCCGTGGGCCCATCCCAAAGGGTCTGCCTCATTTCTGACCATGGGCAACTCTGTTCACTGCAAATGTGTTTTGGGACAAGGAGAAGATTGCCTGCAGCCCCTGGGGAGTAGGACAGTTGTCCTCTGACTCCCACACAATCTTGCCTCTAAGCAATGCTTTAGGATTCATCAGTGGTGAGGTCCTTGGGTATTTAACCAAATCCCCTGAGGGCCGTGACCCACTCGTGATGAGAAATAGAGCTGGGGGTTGGGGAAGGGAAAGGAGTTTTAGCTTTTATCCTAAGCACGTTCTTCAAAAACTGGTACCCTTGCAACAATTTTTGCATGTATTGGAGTATATGTGAGCATGAGCATGTGTGTGTTGGGGTGTGTGCATGTGTGCTGAGAAGTGTGTATACTAGGGTGTGTGTGCATGTATGCAGGGGTGCTGGGACGTGTGTGCACATGGGCACGTGTAGTTGAGTGTGTGCCTGTGTACTGGAGTGTGTGCGTGTGCCTGTCCCTGTGTTCACTCCTGTGAGTGTGCATGTGGGCACGTGTAATGGGATGTGGGCATGCGTGTGTCCGTGTGTGTAGGCACGCATGTGTACATTTTACCTCCTTGTTACCATGAAGGCCCAGGAGACCAGGCCTCAGGGCATCCTTTTCCTCTGAGTCCTGCAATACCCATCCCCAGGTTGCAGCCGTGTGGGACTAACCCGGGAGTGCAGGAAGATGAGTTGGAAGCAGTCGAGTACTTTCTCATGACTGGACCATCCACACTGGCTGGGAAGAAAGAACTATTGTTTCCTGAAAACATTTGGTAATCTGAAGATGGGTCCACGGTGGGATCCCAGTCTCCTCACCACTGTGATTGATTCATGGGTGTCACATAACCCAGGGCCTAGCCAATGGGCATGCAGTGCCTCAC